AGCCCCTCCTCCTCCCCCCCAGGCTCTTGGCAAGCGTTGGAAGGTCGCCCTGAGGTGTCGGAGGGGGCGGGGGTTGGTTGGTGCTGATGCTGTTGTGCCCCCTGCAGGCCGGCGCGGAGATCTCGACCGTCCACCCCGAGCAGTACGCCAAGCGCTTCCTGGACTTTGTCACCAACATCTTCGCTTAGTCGTTACCCGCCCGGAGAGGCCCCCCTCCTTCCCCCCCGTCTCGTCTTGTGGGAGCTGAAGATCAAAGGTGTCCCCTGCCCCCCACCCCTTGGTCTTTGTGCCCCCCGCTGTTGGCTGGCCCGAGGGCTCAGCTGAGCTCCAGAGAAGCCCGGTGGCCGAGTGGGCCGGGCGGGCTCGGTTGCAAACCCAAGTGCCTTATCTTTATCCGCCCTGTCGGGCGGGAGAGCGGGGGATGGATCCTCTGACTGGGGTGGGGGGGCTGCTGGCTGAGGGGCCCTGTCAGCTCAGCCCATGTCTAGGGCTGGGGTCTGCAACCAGCCCTGTCTACAGGGCAGAGGGTGGGGGGAGGCAGCCCGGGCCCTGCAATATGCAATAAAAGATTCGACTCTTTGGTGCCTTAGAGGGGGCAGACAGTTCCCCCCCTAGCAACAGTGACACCCCCGTCCCGTTTTCCCGAGCCTGGGGATGGCAGCGGGTCCCCTCTCCTGCCCGCCCCCCGTGTGTGCTCCGCACTGGTCCCCCCCCCGCTCTCCCCAGAAGGGAGAAGGTTCTCTTGGCCTGTCCCGCGGTGTAATTTATTCCTAGGTGAAATCTCCCGGCTGGGGTCGCGGGGGCAGTTGTTAACACTAGTTTGCATTGGGGTCCCAGCCCCCCGCTCTGCAGCCACCTCTCCCCACACACTATGTCCCCGGGGCCTGCCCCCAGCCTCACCCGCACGAGGCCACGAGCCATGTTTGGTGCCAGAGCCTGGGTTCGAGGCAGGGCCGAGCTTTGGGCCACTGGTCCTCGTCTCTGGGCTGCTGTGGCCGGAAACTGCCCCGCGTGCCGGAGGGGAGCGACTGGGCGCAGAGCTCCCTCCCCCCGGGCTGCGCGTATGCTGGGCTCCCGGGGCCGGCAGGCCCCCCCC